TGGAACTCAGTATCGGGGCATCTGTCAGGCCATCCTGACAACCCCCATGACAGTACATATGTAAACGTATGGTCAGTGGCAGTTTCTGCAGCCACATCCCTAGCATTGAGGGGAGACTCAGGCAGCTCTTGAATGGAAAGAATATTAATGGCTGGAGCAGGAGCAGGCTCCAGTGTTGGCAGGGGTAATCTACTCAGAGCATCAGCATGACCCATTTCCTTTCCCAGTTTGTGAATTAATGAAAAGTCATATGCTGACAAGAAGATGGACCAATGCAGCATACGAGGAGAAAGAATATGTGGAGTCTGTTTGGTCGTGGTGAACAACCCTAGCAGAGGCTTATGGTCAGTGTAGACCGTGAAATGGCGGCCGTATGTGAAATCAAGAAACTCTTAATGCCAGCCACAATGGCTAGCACTTCCCTGTCAATCTGAACGTAATTTCACTCAGCAGAAGACAGGGTTCTGGAATAATAAGCTACAGGGACCTGTGTCCCATCAGCCAACAGATGGCTAAGAATTGCCCCCATTCCATATGGGGAAGCATCGCAGGCAATGCAAACAGGGAGTTGCTCATTGAAGTGAGCTAATACAGCATTGGAAGTGAGCAATGCTTTAACCTCATTGAAACTTTTTTCATGGATTTTACTCCACTGCCAACAGGCTTGTTTGTCTAAGAGCCTGTGCAAGGGCTCAGCTATAGCAGCTTTATTTGGCAGAAATGCATGGTAAAAGTTTAGTAGCCCCCAAAAGGCTTGTAGCTCCCCTTTAGACTTAGGACTTGGGGCCTGCTGAATGGCCTTTAATTTAGCTTCAGAAGGGTGGATGCCTTGAGCATCTATCCTGAATCCCAGAAAGTCAGTAGAATTGACTCCTATCTTACATTTGTCCTTTTTTAACTTAAGGCCTGCTTCCCTAAAACGAAGCAAGACAGCCCTTAATCTCTCAGCCAAGTTTTGAGGTGATTCCCCTGCAATGAGGACATCATCAAAATATGGATAGACTCCAGGGATACCCCTAAGTGTGTTCTCCATGACACTTTGGAATATGCCAGGGGCTACATTTACCCAAAATTGCAGTCTCTTGACCTTGAATGCATCCCTATGCATTACAATGGTCTGTGCCTCAGCAGCAGCTTCATCAACAGGTAATTGTTGATATGCCTGTGCCAGATCTAGCTTTGCAAAAATGCTCCCTCCCTTTAGGGAAGCCAGAATGTGACTTACTACAGGTACTGGATAAGCATGTTGCTGCAGTGCCTTGTTTAGTGTGCACTTGTAGTCTGCACAGATACGTATGTCCCTATTAGCCTTTAGAGGCGTTACTATGGGGGTTTCCCAAGGACTAGAATCTACAGGCTCTAAAATGCCCTACTGGAGCAATTTGTTCAGTTCAGCATCAATCTTGTTTTTGAGTGCAAATGGAACTCTCCTAGGCTTAACCCTAATGGGTGCTATGGATAGATCTAATCGTAATGAAACTGGAGGCCCCTTGTAGGATCCAAGCTCAGAGCTAAACACATCTGCAAATTCCCTGCAGACTTCAGCAAGACTAGACGTTTGCAAATGGTGCAGCTCCGTGACCTGGATTCCCAGAGCCTCAAGCCAATCGAGTCCAGTAAGACTCGTACATTCTCCCCCAACAACCAATACATCTAAGGGACCCTCAAAATCCTTGTACTGTACCTTAAGGGTGGCCTCCCCCTTAATACACACCTTAGAATTCTGAAAGTCTGTAAGTATCATAGTGGATGGCCTGAGTTTCACATGAAGGCCACTGCTGCTGCAAATCTTTTTGAATGTGTTGAGGGAAATTATGGAGAGAGCGGACCCAGTGTCCAATTCCATGGATAAGGGAACCTCATACAACTTAACTTTAAGGGACAGCTTCTTCTTTAGGGGTTTATGTATGCCCGACCTTAGAATACTTCTGTGTGTTGCACAGAAACCCACCCTATTTTGGCTGGGGACCCTGGTACCTTTCAGAAGCAATTCTTCTCTAGGTTGTACCTTCTAACGACCCAAACAGATGGCTGCGATGTGGCCTTGCTTGCCACAGGCCCTGCAATTGGCGAAACGGAACCGGCAGTCTGCTCTTTTGTGGTGTCCTCCGCACCCAAAACATTGTGGAACTGCTGAAGCCTTTTCTGTGTGTTCCTTCTCTCTCCTTCCGGCTGCCTGGTAAAGCTTATTCACCTCATCTTCAGGAACTTCTTCTGATTCTTCTTGCACACTCTCCTGGTGTACGGCAACGGTCTCTGGAGAGCTTCTGGTGGGCCACATATTTTTTACTGCTCCACTTGCTGCTTCCTCTGCTGTAACCTCTTGCAGAGCATCTTGGAACGAAATATCTTCCTTTGCAAAGATCTTCTGCTGTAAGTCCCTGTTCCTTAAACCACATACAAAACGGTCTCTCAACCTTTCTTCCAGATCTTTGAACTCACACGGTCTGGCTGCTCTCCTTAAGGCCGCAATAAACTCTTTAGCCGATTCGCCTGCCCTCTGGTCCCTCTATTCAAATGTATGTCTCCACGCAATAACAGACAACCTGGGCTGGAAATGTTCTTTCAATAGCTTCTTTAGGTCTGTATACGTTACAGACTCCAGAGGAGCAGGGGCTGCCAGATTTTCCGCAATTTCAAATGCGTCCTGACCATAGACACACAACAGGGTTGCAGCCTTCAAGCCGTCTTCTCTGACCTGGTCTACCCTGAAGTAGTTCTCTACCCTAGCAACGTAGGACTCCCATCTCTCTGAGTGTGAACATCAAATTCAGATAAATGACCTATCTTTGCTGTCCTCGCTTCTTTGGGAAGGAGTCGATCAGCCAAGCTTACCTCCAGCGATGCTGTGCTGGCAGGCTAGAACACTGAGTTTAATGCCGTCTTGCCTTCTTCAGGACTCCTCAGGTAAGTCTTACAGCTTACCTGAGGAGTCCTGAAGAAGGTGGGATGCTTACCTACTTTTAAGCTTGTAAGCATCCCACCTTCGTTGCCAGTGTTAAGTCCTTCGTTTAATGGCGAATGAAGGTCACACATGGTTGAATCAATAGCTCTTTATTTCTCCTTCTGCTCACTCCAACAACAGAACTTGGCTCGCAGGCCTCCTTATTTAGCGTCCAGATCCCTGAGCAAAACAGCAACAATTAATGGCGTGCTTTTGTGCCTCGCACATGTGCGCCAGGCTGGTACCACTCAGTCTGGTCCTGGGCAGCTTTTGCAATTGCCCGGGAACCTTGCAATGTCCTGAGCCTACATGCTGTGGCTATGTAAAAGCAAATTGAAACAGACAAAAGACCTCTTTCAGCAGACCAAAAGATTAAAGCCTGTGTCACATTTCTGCTATCAACAGTGATGTTGTCACTTTTGATAGAAGTAAATGAAAGATCTTCAAAATTTAATATTGAAAGAGAAATTTAAAATTGAATTTGCTGCAGTGGAAATATACTGAGTAGAGAAGCTATGGGGGGAAAGAGGAAAGGTTAACAAAGAAAGGATGTAAAGGAAATATGTAGGCAAAAATAGTTGGGTCTGAGAAAGGAAGAAGAGAAGCCATAAAAATATATATAGTTTGTAAAAGGAAATGGCTAGCCAGGAAAAGACAGGTTGGAGAATAGGAAAATAAGCTGAATAAGATAAGAGGAAAGGCACACTGAATTGAAAAGCAGGAAAAGAACTTATTGTTTAAAATGGGGACATAAATATCTACTGAGTTTAAAATAACCATTTAAATGTCTATTTTTTCTTATTTTTATTGTATATGTGAATATGATTTAATATGTTATCAGGAAATGTGTATAGGTGGTCGGAAAGAGTGTAACCTCATACTACCTCAGCCAACGGAGAAAGAGGAGGGATGTAGCGGCCGGTGATAGGGATGAATAAAAGAAGGAGATATTTTGGGTTAAAACTTTGGAGAGAACCAAGCTTTGATAGCTTCTCTCCCCGCTTATTGCAATAAATGAAACAAAAGGCCTTCACTGTGTCTTGGCTGGTTATTGGTCAGGCGAGCTTGCCTCTGGTCACGAAGGAAAGTAGCCAGGAGCACATAACACTTTTAATTGCCCATGCAGTGCTGTGTATTGCTAATAATATTGTTTAGAGATCAATGAAAGTCAGCCATTGTTGATCTGATTTTAAACATTTTTAATTGGCTCAGAGAATTTTAGGGCCAGATGTAGACAAAATAAAGTTAGCACCCTTTAAAAATAGGTAAAATATAGAGACATACAATCTATACAATTTCTTAAAACAAAAGAATACAAAAATAAATAAATTATCAGCAATTGTTCTTTGTAAGAAAAACAATGAGATACAGAATTGCACCAATTAGAGGTTTTTATCTTCTTAACACTTTTTAAACACCCGGATATGATCCTAGCAATAGAGGAGCTCTATTAATATGCTCAAAAAAAAAAAGCCTGTAGCAGAAACAGAAGTTTAAATTGTGAAGTTGCTGATATGTTAATATGAATTGACTAGAATGTTTCAAATCCAGAAAAGTTAATTAGGTTTATGTGCTTGACATTTATATGCACAAGATTTGCAAACAAAATTATGAGCAAAAAACAGATAGTTTACAATCTCAACAGTTGCAAAATATCATTTAGGATGTAAACTCTTCAGAATATTGTTTTGGAATTCATTTTTAATTCATACCTACATGTCTCTCATTCATAAATTAGAACAAGTTGTATAGAGGAAATGTATTTGTTTATTTAAATCTTTTATTTGGACATAGAGGTTGTTTTTTGATATTGCAGGACATTTTAACTATTACAGTATACATGTAGAAATAGAAAATGTGAGACATGCTCTACGGTATATATTATCTACCACAATGTTAGGGTATTTAGTCTTTGGAATGTACATATTATGAAAGACATTTTTGCAGTAACAATAAGCATTTCATCCCACATTCAATAACTACTACTTCCTCAATTTCTCATAATGCCATATCGCATCAAATATTTATGAAGATGGAAAGCTAAAATTGTACTTACCCACAGGGATGACTCCCTGTAAATTTCCTTTGCTGTGGAGTACAGGACCTGGATGAGAAGGAGAGACAACAATTTTCACGTAAAAAAAAATACAATTATAACTTATTTACAGTCTGGAAAAAACAAAAGTAATACATTACATAATGCAGAAGCATAAATTATCTTCATGTTCCAGTTATTATATTTCTAGATTATGACAGGCTATGTTCAAATTTTGCTCACATTAATTCCAGCCCTAGGGTTAACCAAATTTGCATAATCTAATTTTAGAAACTGCTTCTTGTGTGAAAATGCAGTTGTGCTATATTTCATACTGTTATTTTTTTTCCCTGAATTCCTTTGTTTTCAGTTGCCTATTTCTCTGCTAGAGAACAGATTTGAATGTAATAATTATTATACTTGGCCATGAGCACATCCATTTCCATAGAATATTAGCCTACGAGGGTAAACATATCAGGCTTTCTATTTTAAGCTTTTATAGGTTCTTACAAGGTTGCTATAAATAGTATATCTGCTTTCTAAAACAATGTTTATTGCAGTTCCCTGGGGTGAGGGTTGTTGGGAGTGGTATGCAATCCATGGTGGAACAATAAACAGAAACCACACCAGAGATTTCAAAGCCCAGTTAGTACTGATCATAGTCTTCAGAGTTGGTATATCTATATGCACTCTAAATGTCTAGAATAATCTCTTCTATCTATAAAATGGACAATAATTTTGAGTGGCATACTATTATATATATTATATATGTTTTTTTAAAAAATAAATATATATGCCACCCAACTCACAGCATCAAGCTATTTTCCAAAGCGCCTGAAGGCAGGACAAGAAGCAACGGATGGAAACTAATCAAGGAGAGAAGCAACCTAGAGCTAAGGAGAAACTTCCTGACAGTTAGAACAATTAACTAGTGGAACAACCTGGCTCCAGAAGTGGTAATGTTCCAACACTGGAAGTTTTTAAGAAGAAACTGGACAGCCATTTGTCCAAAATGGTATAGGGTTACCTGCCTGAGAAGGGGGTTGGACTTGATGATCTCCAAGGTCCCTTCCCACTTTATTATTATTATTATTGATCATCGCATAGTCGGCCAGATGTTCAGACTGGATTTGGCATTTTGTCTACCTATCAAGTCCTTACCCAGGGCCTGGGATAGGCAGATGTGGATGTTTGATGGTATTACAGGTATCGTCGCAGGATGGAAGCAGTTCCTAGTAAGGCCACCTTTTGCAATTGACTAATAGCGAATTTGTCAATGCCAATGGTGTTCAAGTGGTGCTCCAGTTGTTTTGGGATTGCACTCAAGGCGCCTATGACTATTGGTACTACCCTTGCTTGCTTGTGCCACAGTCTTTCTATTTCTATTTGTAGGTCTTTGTATTTTGTTATCTTCTCCAGCTCTTTCTCTTCTATTCTGCTGTCTCCAGGCTAGAAGAGAAATTATTATTATTATTATTATCATTCATCGCACAGTCAGCCAGATGTTCAGACTGGATTTGGCATTTTGTCTACCTATCGAGTCCTTACCCAGGACCTGGGATAGGCAGATGTGGATGTTTGATGGTATTACAGATATCGTCGCAGGATGGAAGCAGTTCCTAATAAGGCCGCCTTTTGCAATTGACTAATAGCGAATTTGTCAATGCCAATGGTGTTCAAGTGGTGCTCCAGTTGTTTTGGGATTGCACCCAAGGAGCCTATGACTATTGGTACTACCCTTGCTTGCTTTTGCCACAGTCTTTCTATTTCTATTTGTAGGTCTTTGTATTTTGTTATCTTCTCCAGTTCTTTCTCTTCTATTCTGCTATCTCCAGGCACTGCCACGTCCACTATCCAGACTTTTTTGTCTTTCTTATCGACAATTGTTAAGTCTGGGGTGTTATCTTGCAGGTGCTTGTCTGTTTGAATTCTGAAGTCCCAGAGCAGTTTAATTTTATCATTTTCTATGACTTTCTCTATTTTATGATCCCACCAGTTTTTGCTTACAGGCAAATGATATTTTTTGCAGATCTTCCAATGCACCATTGTTGCTACTTTGTCATGCCGCTGCTTGTAGTCAGTCTGTGCAATCTTCTTGCAACAGCTTACCAAGTGGTCCACTGTTTCTTCAGCTTCTTTGCATAGGCGGCACTTACTGTCTGTTGCTGTCTTCTCAATTTTGACTTTGTATGCATTTGTCCTTAAGGCTTGGTCTTGTGCAGCCAGAATTAGTCCCTCGGTCTCTTTCTTCAATTTTCCTGCTCTTAGCCATTGCCAGGTTTTATTATTATCTGCTTTCCCAGCTATTTTTTTCATGTATTGGCCATGTAGTGCTTTGTCTTCCCATGCCTCTATTCTGTTCTTCATTTGGTCTTTCTTGTAGGCCAGTTTGGTCTCTCCAGTAGTTAGTAAGCCTTCCTGATATACTAATTTCAGTGCATCTTCATCATTGTTCTTCAGATATTCTTCCAAAGCCATTTTTTCTTCTTCAACCATCTGATGTACTTGTAGCATTCCACGCCCACCTATTTGCCTTGGTAGATAAAGTCTATCAATGTCACTGCGTGGATGAAGGGCATGATTCATTGTCATTATTTTTCTGGTCTGCCTATCCATTGCTTTTAGTTCTGCTTGAGTCCAGTCCACTATTCCAGCTGTGTACCTAATGACTGGGATTGCCCAGGTGTTGATTGCCTTTATGGTATTTCCTCCATTGAGTTTGGATTTAAGATCTTCTTCACTCTCTTGATGTATTCACCTCTAATCTTTTTCTTGACTTCAGTGTGCTTGATGTTGTCAGCTTAAAGGATACCCAAGTATTTGTAGTATTCTTCCTCGTCCAGACTTTCTAAATGTTATTTTCGTGGGGCATCTTGATTCCTTCAGTTTTCACTATTTTTCCTTGTTTGATAGTAAGTGTGGCACATTTGTCCAAGCCAAACTCCATTACAATATCTTGGCTATATATACGGACAGTGTTGAGCAGCGATTCTATTTCAGATGATGTTTTTCCATACAGCTTCAGATCATCCATGTAAAGGAGGTGGGATAGTCTAGCAGATGTTTTTGATGTTTGATAACCATGTCCTGAGTTATTCAGTATTGTTGACAGAGGAAACAGTGCAATAACAAATAGTAATGGTGATAATGAATCTCCTTGAAATATTCCTCTCTTGATATTAACCTCTCCCAGCTTTTCACCATTATTATTATTATTATTATTATTATTATTATTATTATTATTATTATTTTATTGAATTTTTTTAAAATTTTACAAAAACAAAGTTCCCTTCCCCCAACCCTCCCGACCCATCCCAACCCTCCCCCAACCTTCCCAGAGCTGAATACAGGCTTAATTAAAATTTAAAAGAAAAAAATTAAACACAAATGAACCATATACAAATTTGGTTACAATAATTAAACAAATCATAAAATACTTTAACACCAATACTTAAAAAACAGAAAGAGAAAAAGAAAAGAAACAAGAAGAAGAAGAAAAAAGAAAAGAAAAAAAGAAATTAGAAAAAGAAAAAAAATATCTAAAAAATATCTTAAACTTTAAATATAAATTATTCAAAAGCTAAGTAATATTTTTTATATCATACTTGTATTGTATAAAATTTATCCATCTTTTCCATACCAAAAGGTACTTCTCTTGTGATTGATCTTTCAAAAAAGCCGAAATCTTTGCCATTTCCGCTAAATAAGAAACTTTAAAAAACCATTCTTGCAAAGTAGGCAAAGATTCCTTCTTCCAGCATTGCCCTACTAACAACCTAGCCACTGTAATTAGATTTAACATTAATATAGTTTCTTTATTGACACAGTCGGAAACAATACCCAACAAAAACAATTGTGGAGTAAATTTTATCCTTCTTTTAAAAATTCTTTGAATATTCCACCATATCTTAATCCAAAAAGCTTTTATATTTTTACATAACCACCAAATATGATAATAAGTAGCATCCAAACAACCACATCTCCAACATTTAGGCTGCAAGTTTGAATACATACGAGACATTTTTTGTGGATCAAGGTGCCATCTGTAAAACATTTTATAAAAGTTTTCCCGTAAGTTTTGGGCTTGTATAAATTTAACATTCCTCACCCAAATAATCTCCCAAGTATCTAATGGAACCAATTCATTAAAGTTTTGTGCCCATTTAACCATACAATCTTTAACTAATTATGCTTCTGAATCCAGTTCCACTAACACCCCATAAATTCTTTTGATATGGGTTCGTCTTTGATCTTTTATTTGTTTTAACAAATTCTCATCCTCTCTAAGCAAACCCACCTTACAATCTATCTTCCACCTTTCCAATAATTGTCTATACTGAAACCATAAAAAAATAATATTTTCTTGTGTTAAATCTTCCATGGATTTTAATTACCAATTTTTACCATCCCATCTAAGTAATTGTATATAAGAAATGCTATCCACTTAACTCCTCTCCTTATCCCTTCTATCGCATGCCATGGAATAGGCCATAATGGGATTCTTGAATCACTTCTATAATATTTCTTCCAAACCCAAAGTAAGGAAGTTCTTAAAATATGAGACTTAAAAACCCTGTCAACCTTCTTATTAAAAATTAAATAGGCATGCCATCCAAAAAGTAAATCCCATCCCTCCAGGAGGAGTACATCTACATTTGTTAAATTAACCCAATCACTAATTAATGTTAACACCACAGCATCATAATACAATTTTAGATTCGGTACCTTGAGTCCACCTCTCTCATGAATATCTTGTATAATTTTAAGTTTTACTCTTGGTTTTTTCCTTGCCCAAATAAATTTGTTGATACCTTTCTGCCATTCATTTAAATTAACCTCATTCTTTAAAATAGGTATCATTTGAAATAAAAAGAGAAACTTTGGCAAAACATTCATTTTAATCGCTGCAATTCTCCCCAATAGGGACAATTGCAGCTTCTTCCAATTTCCCAAATCCTTTTGTATTTTAACCCACAGCCTTTCATAATTATTTTTATACAATTTTGTATTAGAAGCAGATAAGATAACCCCCAGATATTTTACCTTATTAACAA